TGGCCGCATTAGAGGATGGAGAAAATTTTTCTTCCTTTTATGTCCTGGGAAGGTTTACTACTTCTTCTAATAGTATATCACTGTTGAGGTCATTTTGGCCTTTTTACATGAAATTACTATGTTGCCCAAAGAAAAATAACTAGCCCCAAAACAGTAACTAACTATTGAGGGTTATTTCTTACTTTTTGCGCATATTCTTTTGCTTTACTTCTCAGGCTTTCCCGTCTCTTCCCCTCTTTCCTTAGACCAAAGAAACTGGTGGTTGGCATTAGCTCTGTTCTCCACTTCTTCTTTGTCTCCATTATGAAAGACAAGAAACCAAAAAGTCAAACAACTTTAGCACCGATGGCAGGAAAGCAAAACACTCCATTTGCACTTCATTTTACAACTTTAGCCCATCATCTTTGTTTTCTTCTTCCTTTCTTTCTCTCTGTTTCCCGTTTCTTTATTTCTCCTTTCTTTTCTTGCTGGTTCAACGAAGAAAAGTACAACTTCAATTCTTCCATCAGTAGCTAATTGTTTAGAAGTGTTTTTGACTTTTTCCCTAGCATTCTTGCCCTTTTTTTCCCGTTGTTTCCATTTCGTTTTCTTTTTGCTTCAGAAGAAGCATGTTTGCAGATTTCATTTTGTTTTCATGTTGAGCTCTACTTTTTCTCCTTCGTCCCTCCCTCTCTGTTTCCATTCCTTTGTTTCTTTTTTGTTTTCTTCCTGATTCAGACAAAGAAAAGTACCAATTCATCTGCTCCAACACCTGGTCAATAATTTGACCATCTTTTCCCCCAAAATATGGCTGCTCATCCATATCCCAATCGTGCTATTGTTCCACAAAGAGTCAATTGTGGCTGCCCATCCATATCCCAACCATACGATCATTCCACAAAGAGTCAGGTATGAGGTATGATTTCTACCTATTACTAGAGATATAGGGTTTGTCCTTTTGCCTTCCTTTTCATTTGCCAGTTCACAAATTATCGAAAGTGAGAAGAAAAATCTCTAACAACTCATCAATTTTGTGTTTATCTATTGTGTTCATGATGCCTAATACCATTGCCAGGGATATAGATTTCTCCTTTTGTTTTTATTTCTGTTGCCCACTTGGCAAATTATCGTTAGTGAAAGAAAAATTCCTAACAACTGATAGAGTTTGTGTTTTTATATACATTAGGAACACAAACACTGCTCACAAAAAAAATCAACGGTTCTTCCTCCTTTTGCTATGTAACATTTCCGACTAAAGGTAACTACTCATATTCTGTGCCTAATATTTTTCCACACGAGTCTTGAAGAGATTGGATAATCTATATACTTTCTATTTTGGTTGCCAAATTTCTTCAGGGGTTTAATTGCACTTTGAAAGAATTGGTGCAGAAGAGCTTCTGATTTAGCGTTCACAGATTTCAGTTGTAAGTTCGTTTGCTTTCAGTTATTACTTGTCGACTGAATTTTTTTCCCTTACTTTTTTTTGTTATCAGTTTTAAGTTCCCTTGTGAGTATCAAGTCCATAGATTGTAAGTTCTCCTATTTTTTTCCTCCAATTCAACGAATGTGGTATTTTTGAGTGGTGGATAGGAGGGGATAGAAGATTGTGTAGGTGAAATGGATTTTGGTTGTTGATAGAGCAAAGGAATGGTCTGATACTTGGTAATTACTTGTATCCATGTTTTTGGGGTCTAAAGTCGTGGATTTGCAAGTTGGACATGGCAGTGAGTGAGACGGACAGAAGTTGTGGAATAGGCGGACATGCATAATCATATATATATGCAAGTTGGACTTTAGCTTTCTATGTACGTAATATATATTTGGCTTTCTAACTTCCTACACATAAAAAATGGTGAAATTGCAGCATGAAGTGACTATACCTTTCTAAACAAAAGAGCAAACAGACCACAAATATGTGAGCCAAGATTCTTTAATATGTATAAAATTTCCATTCAAAAGTATTGCAATAACACTTGTATTGACTGCAAATGATGCTTCACTTGATGATGCTCCAACAAAGCTTTATCACTTCACTTCTTGCGGATACTCAAGTGATTTTCCAATTAAAGCTCTCTCTAACAAACGTTCCCCTCTTTTACAAGCATTCCAATTCTCTTAACCATTTGTGTGGTTCCCATTCTTCAGAGAAATTGAATTGCATTTTTGTAACTTCATCAGCTTTCCCATTTTCTATTTGTATTAGTGACAAATTCAATGACTACTTAAGCCATTAAGTTCATTATTCAAAAGCTATGTGCCCACTTAAGAGGGTATTATAGGCAACCAACATTGGCAAATGTATTACCATGTTGTATTGTATGTTAGGCTTCACCATTTTCTCCCTACTTGCCTCTAACCAAAATACCTCTATACAGAATAATCCTCATTTCCCTCCACAAACTGCTCCACACAGAATACCTAAAATACTCCTCCACAAAACAGATGAAAAATTCCCAAGAGTCAGATGCAAACTGCTTTTTATATATGTATAGGAAATGGAGAGAGGTGGCAGTTGGAATAAATATTGTGTCATTTTATGAATTTTTAATTTTGTCCTTAAAAATTAATTTTTACTCTTCTAATCAGATTTGCTAACATAATCTCCCATAACTCCCTTAAATATTATAACTACCAAATAAACTATAGCTGTTTTTAAAGAAAAAGTTACTAATAAATTGCAAATTTTTTATGAACAATTGATATAAAATTAATTTTGTAAAAACAAAATTAACATATTCATAAACATTAGTAATTATTTCGAAACTGCACGTACATTGGGTGTGCCCTTAACATTAGTCTATATAATATATATAAAGGGCGATTTAGTGTAAACATTATTTGTCACTCTTTGAACTTTCGATTTACTCTTATAGAACAAAACATGTTTTACTTTAATTATTTACCTTAAACATACCTAATACTAAGCATTATAACTATCAATATAACAATTATTATGTGAAACAAATGTAAGAGATTAATTATTATTTTGGCAATGAAAAATTCATATAAAATTTACTTACCATAAATATTATACATCTATTTATTGAACACACATTGAGTGTGCAAAAAGCACTAATTTTTTTTATTGTTTTACGTTCTCTTTGTTAAAGGAAACAACAATCTAATTACTGCTAATACTTAATAGCTTTTTGACTTTGGGTGTCTAACCTGAGATGATGGATGGATGGACCGACCGAGAAGAAGAAGAAGAAGGATGATGATAACTAAAAACACACTAATAAAACATTGCAAGTAGGCAAAGAAATCGGTAGGTGTACTGATGGATGCTCTTTGAAGTTGATTTTTCTAACTTAAAAAAGAGGCATAAACCAAATGGACAGTTCTTATTCAAGTAGTTGAGAGGAATCACATTCAGTACACTTGGAAAGCACCACCTAGAAGGATCCAACGATTCATGCTCACTGACGCCCAAGTACTTTACTAACTACTATGTACATTCATCACCCAATATAAATAACCATAGATTAATTCCATTCGTACAACGACTCCTTAAATTTTTTTTCTCCTAGACTATCGATGAAAAAATGACTGCATAGCTTTATTTACACTTTACTAGAAAATAATATTTGATTTCTAATTTACTCATACCCTATCCTTTAGAAATTGTTGCACTTTAAAGTTTTATGTATTCTATATATTCGAAGATCTGCCTGCATAGGATTACTTAGCAAAAATAGCCTAGATATGATATATCTAAATTTCAGCTTGCTTGCAAGTTCATTTTTATCTGGACTATTACTTTACACAACAGATTCTGGATGTATACATAAATATACAATCAGTACTAACCACTAAGAACCACCTATATTAACAACACTTAATAAATTTATATGTCTAACTTTTAAAAATTTGTATATCTTCAAACTGATCCAAATCAATGTTTAACACCTTCTGAAAATTCAGTCTCAACAGTAGTAAAACAAAAACAAAACATAAACAACAGCTTTCCTTTTTCTCTTTGAACCTGAGATTTGAGAAAACATAAAAACTTAGCATTCAAAGTTCAATATGCAATGCTATGCTAATAAACTAGACTTTCCTATAATACTCTTATTATGTAGCAGAAAATTCATACAAATTGCTTCCTCTTGCTGCCTTTTTTAATTCACAAGAATATTGAACACATTTAAATAACTTTAACCACTTTGAATCATCTTCTTGCTGCTCATGACTTTTATCTCATACATGATCATGAATCATAATCACCAATAAAACATGAACAAGAGTTTCTTCCTATTCCCCTCAATTTACAATCCATAAACCTAAGATTCCACTATACATAGACGGTCAAAAAAATGTTAACTGTCTATGATTTACTCTAAAAAAATCACAAGTCGTACTTGATTACTCCTACCTGATTGCATACTCATTCATGCGGATATCCATATAGAAGATACACAATAATGTTACCTTATAGCATACTAACTCAACTACAAACACTGCAAACAGGGAACCAAAGTCTCTGCAGCAGTTTATGAAAATTGCATCCGACTGTTCAGAAATCTGTTAGTTCCGTACCAGCGATACTACGTCTCTGGTGCAACTATTATCAATGCTGTTCCTACATACAAAGTTAGCGAATATCCACACTCTTGGGTCCTTCATTACTCAACTTTGATTGAGCGCTACCTCGAACCAATTCCTCCAATGCTTCCATGTCCTTTCACCTTTGACAACTTTTCTGATGCACATAAACATGCAGAATCTGATATTACTCTGATAAGTAAGTGTTATATAAAAACATATCTCTGCAGAATTTTATCCAATTTTACATTCTTAGATACTTTCAAATCTGACTAACTACTTCAAACTATAGGTGTCAAAGCATTGGTCATATATGCCTTCCCTCAAAAAGGAGCAACTCCAGATTTAGTCACAAGGGATTTTCTGATTGTAAATGAAGAGTAAGAAATCTCATTTCCCTCTATTACTTGACACATACATTATTATTTAACATCATCCTTTTTATTGAGTCCTTATTGTTTAAAGGAAAAAAATTGATGCTTCTCACTTTATGGAATGAGTTCCAAGAGTATGAAGGCAATATCCTTGTAAACACCATTGCAACTGCTCCTATGATCTTTGCTATGAGAGTGAAAGTCTCTACTTTCAACAGTGAGTCCCTTACTCTAAAAATTCTGTATACATTTATTGCATATCACTCATATTTCTCACACATAAAAATCTTAATTCTCTACTGAAACAGGTTTATCATTAACAACAATAGGACTATCATGCATTCTCATCAATCCACCAGTCCATGACGAATTGCCACGTCGTGAATGGTATAGCATCCATAAAGATGAAGTTAAGATTTTATTGGAAGCAAAAGCATATAAAGATCCAGAATTTCTGCTTCCACCACCAAACCAAGAGGACATCAAGACCATTCATGATGCTTTAATCTCATTCGGAACAGTAAGAGTGCCCCAGTTTTTCCCTAACCAATCAGTATTATCATTTTACACTTCAACTTTGAAGAAAATGAAATAGTAATGCACTAGAGTTCAATTCATTTGCAGCAAAAAACAGCATGGATAAGCGGTACAGTGCAATTATCATTTGGCCAAACTCGCTTCTGGTACACTGCATGCTCAAATTGTTTGAAAACTGTTGAAGCAGATACAGATTGGATCATAAAATGTTCATCATGCAGACAAGAAGCCGAAGTGGAACTAAGGTATTGTTTCTCATCTAACCTATTTAAAATTAACTCTTTTATACTGTACATTGTACAATAAACTAAAACTCAGACATTCCACATAAGGTGTCGCATTGGAATAACACTGACCGATCCAACTGCAAGCATTCAATGCTTAATATCTGGAAAAGAAGCTGAAAGACTGATACAATTGACTGCTACGGAGGTTAAGGATGCAGAGGCACATGTAAATCAGCACACCTAACTTTCAAGTTTTCGTTCAACATTTATATACAGAAATACTAATATATAAACACTCACATTGATGCTTATCATTTCAGGGAATAACAATGAACCAAGAACTTTCTGCCATCATGAAAAAGTACAGGTTGATCTGTTTTATCAAAACATATGAGACAACTTTTCAAGGACAACTTCAAAGAAGAAATGCAATCATCAAAGCCTACCCAACAGCTGAAGTCCCCAACATATCATTGGCTCTATTAGATTCACCAACAACTCTCCAAGCTTCAGAAACTGGAACAACATCAAACACCAAGCAAAAAAAGGTCGCAGAACAACAAACGTTCACACCAACAGCCAAGTTGCTCCTTCAAGAAATAGCCGAATCCACTGCTACTAAAAAAAGCTTCATCACTAAATCAACAACTGCTGCAACAACCAGTCACAAACTGCTTGAAGACACTGCTACCTCAGCTTCACCAAATACCACCCCAATCGACGAAACTGCTGCCAGCCCAACAAAGAAACCAAAACAGGAAGGAAAAGGGAATTGAACACTCCCCAACCCGTACTAAAACCTTTTGATATTGCTAGAGAAGAGCTTAGCAGGTCTATCGTGCCTAAATTGTAGTTTTAGAATCCATTGCTCCAATATTTTTTGATAGAGCAATGCATTCTAATACTTAGAATTACTACACCCTCCCTCACCTGCTAACGACTCCTATTACCAGAACCATAAACCTATAAAGCCTAGGTTCATGACTTTGTCAGGCTGAAAATCCAGTATTAGAATGCATTGCTCCAATATCTTTTGATAGAGTAGTGCATTCTAATACTCATATGTCATATAAGCTTCTCTAGCAATCAATAATATGTGCAGTATTTCTATACGTTGCAAATGAGCGATTTACTTTTCATATAAGTTAAAAATTTACATATGCTTCTCCATATATCTACTCTATTGCACTTATTTAATTACAACTTGAAAGTGTTGGTGCAGAAAAGCCTTTTATTTGGGGTTCACAGATTTATACTAAGGAATTGCTTCAATTTCAGGTCACTTTCTCCTCTTCCTTGACTACATGCTATAATGTTTGTGCCTAAGTTTTGTTATATTTCATCTATTACTCATAATTTTTCAGTTGTAGGTTCATTTGCTTTCACTTATTAACTGAACGTATGCTTTATACGACTATGGTGAGGCTGGGTAATCAATAGATTGATATGTATTAGAAGCAAACGAGTATGATCAAGGAAGATCACCTACTTGCTGCAATCACAGTTGCTGTTTCTATCAGGGGACACAACCTATCAGTAAGCTTTCAAGAACTACCATGAATTGCATTTGAGTTCAGTTTTATTCAATGGGAATGTTTTAGGAATCTAGATGTTATACACAATCAATTTGGGCTTTCCATTTAATTTGGAAATAGTAGCAGCAGCAACCCGCCTTGCTCTCCACTTTTCCTTTTATGGAGTCCTCTTTGGTAAGTTTAATTTGCCCTCTTTTCGTTGTTGTTAGCTTTTCTACATGCCAATAGCAGACAAATATTGTCTATCTCCTATGTTCAGCAAACATCCACTTGGTAATTCTCTAACATCTCTTCTTCACATATTTGCCCTTAAGGTCAACGAAAAGACTGCAGCATGCTAGCATTATCTCATCTTAGTTCACTTTACCTTAACTTTGTTGGTAAATCCAGGGATCAGGAATTTGATAAACGAAATTCAATGAGTGAAAATTGGGATGTCCCTTTTTGTGCTATATAAATTCTTATGTTCTAAATTATTGAATTTGGCATATACTGATTATCTATGGTTTACATTTCTAGCTGCATGGTTTTGTAAAGAAAGAGCAATTGGAGGATGCCCTCGCTGGCATGGACCTTCTAATCATTCCTGTTAGAGTTCATAGGAAACTAGCAATGACTAGAAATGACCTTTTTAATATCAATCCTGACATTGTTAGGGCTAAACGAACGAATTTCAAAGTGCTATACGAAAGCTATTGTCTGCGTGGTGCCATTTGGGGCTGCAATGAACGTCACATGTTGGCATCAAACATTTGGGCTGCAAAGAATTTCAAAGTGTTTGTAAAGTTATGGACTATTGTTCTACGATTCAGTTAATTTTGTTTTGGTGTTGTTTACGTATCTTTATTATCGATATTTGAAAATTCAAAGTCCAACATGCTTGAATTAGCCCAAGATTTGAATTTTTTTTGGGTCATAATCCTTGTTCGAGCTGTACAAATTATTGTAAAACTGTGGAATTGTATGTGAGTCTGTATCTTTCTGTGTGAAAGAAAGATTGTGTACTGTGAGTTAATTAACTTGAGTGTATTGAGTTCTTCATTCATGTTTATTTTTCATATTGCATATGTGCTCATTTCTCCGGACTCTTCGTGGTTTATGTGGAGGTATGCATGCACTTCATTATGGTCCAGAATGGCATAAGCTTTACATTCCTTCCTAAGGGCCTTTGTTGTCACTCAATATGAAAAATGATTGATTGATGTCTAAAATATGAGAGCAAAAATTAATATGTCTTCATGATAGAATTGTTTAAAGAAATGAGAATACCAGCAAATTTTTCAATATTTTTGACACTATATATTGGGCTAGTATTATATACAACGAGGGACTACACAGGCAACATATAGATCTCTTAGGATTAAGCTATAGGAATCTTGTACACTGGGGCGTATTTAAGGTGGGGGCACTGGGGGCACGGGCCCCCACTGCCCCCCTTAAATTCCTATAATACTTATACAATTTTAATATAATTTTAAGTGTGTCCCAGAGTTTTTTTAGAAATGATGTGAAAGAATTACGTGATTTTTTAAGTTAGTTCTTAAACTAAAATTCTAGAAAGATACGTGGGGCACAAATTTCATTTAAAATAAGCTAAAAAAAGCCTTTTCATTTTAACTAGCAAGTACCAATCATATCATGCACTTTCTTTGAGTCTCACTCCCCAATTTCCCTTCTCTCCTTCGGCCCCCCATTTTTCCCCCACAACCAAGAATCACTATTTTCCACAACCAAGCAGCTAGCTACTATTTGTCTTGATCAATTCATCCAATCATATCATTCACTTCCTTTGTCTCCACTTCCCAATTTCCCTTCCCTCCACCAGTCCCCCATTTTCCCTCCACAACCAAGAGTCATTCTTACTTCCACAACCAAATTAGTTATCAAAATATAAAAGCTCGCAGTGAGCAATTGTAAATTGTTTAGTTTGTTTTTGAAATAAAATTATTATTACATTAATAATTTTAAATTTGCCTTTTTATGTTTTTCATGAAATATATGCATCATTTGTACTTGCTGGTGAAATTTTTTTTTTTTTTTGCTTAAAAAACTAGAAAAAGAGTAGATAAAAAATTTTAGTATTGTTTTTGCCCCCATTAAGAATTTTTTCTGGCTCCGCCCCTGCTTGTACATCATCGGAAATTTTGAAACAAAGATTTTTTTAAAAAACTAAAATTTTTTGACCGACACATGAGGTATTAATTTCTCTTGCGGATGATGGGTTGAGTGGTATGAGGGAAAAGAGTATGAGTGAGAAGTTTCGGATTTGAAAACTCACACTTAAACTAAAAAAAAAAAAAAAATTCTAACGTCCAATTTATTTTGGCACCCATCCAAATTTCCAAGTACTCTCTAGGAAAAAAAAATATATCCTGCGGATAACTTATAATTAAGAGACGCAATTTGTCAACTATGAATCAAATTAGTAAGGACTAATTACATTTACCCCCCCCCCCTTGAGTTGGACCAAACTACAAAATAAACTTTGAGGTTTGACTAAATTACAAAATAATCCTTTAATCTTGCAAAACGATAACAAAAGGGTCCCTACTGCCGTTAGTAAGATGACGTTGACTGCTAAATCCTAACATATTTATACAATGAAAGTTCAAAAAATAACCATCATTTCTTCCATTTCCCCAGCTATCAGTCTGCACCCACCTTGCTGCTAAATATATATGCCGCCACCATACTTTGGGCATCAAATTCTTCTTCTTTATAGTCAATCCAACTTTCTAGAGCTCCCGTCTTTGGATTTGTCCACAACAGAGTTTTGACTTGAAAATTTCAAGATAGGAACAAAATAATATTCAAATAAAGCCTATTGTGACTCCATGACCACATCTGGGAAACCATTTAATTTCATCAAATGCAATGAAAATGCTTCAACCAATATCAAATAAGTATTTAGAATGTGTCAGATGTTACTATTTTAATACCCAACAGAAGATCTTCAATATGAAATTGTCCCACTCATCTTTAGCTGAATCCCTTGCGTTTTAGATCTTTTCTCTACAATTTCATGAGTTGCAAATTCAACTGGATGTATTTGTGGACATTTGTTTATTTGTTTGGATGATTTCATTTTTTTACATTTGGTTTTCTTTTATTGATAGACGTTTCATGATTTAGAAAAGTTTTGTGGATTTTACATATCTATTGTATTGCATATTCGTTAAAATTTTTTTGCATATCAATTTTAAATTGAATTTCAATTTGACTCTTTCAAGTAAAGGGGTATGTTGCCTCTCATGGGCAGCTCGATTGGTCACGGCACGTCTCCTTAGGAGCCGTTGTCCAGTGCCCGCCAGATTTGAGTCCCATGGTTATCGTGTTCGGGGGATGGGGCCTCTTCTCCCGGACCGGTGAGGGATTAGTCGGGTCCGATTTACCCGATGGTCCGGATACCCCCTCCGTCAGACCAAAAAAAAAAAAAGTAAAGGGGTATGTTGTTTGTCATTTTTATGACCTCCATGGATGGAGTTTAGACGTGTTACTGGCAGGAGAGGTCAATGTTATTTAACTAAACCTCAAGGTAAATTTGGTAGTTTGGCCTAACCTCATGGGAGGTAAATGTAATTAATCCAATTAGTAACCTTCACCCAAAAATTTATTACCAAAAAAAGAAATTCAGAATTTTTCCATATCAGTGATGTACTACAGTACTACTATATATATATATATATATATATATATGCATTAACAACCTATTAGATTTCTTAGTGATTAAGCTAGTAGTAATACTTCACAAAATAGTGGATGAACTTGTCAGAGGCTTTGACTATTCCTTCAACTAGTCAAGAATTAGGACAAGAATTAGACAGTAATTTTATTCCTAAGACATCAAAACCGAATCATCCGGCCAATAACTTTGTGCCACACTGGATACTTGACAACTGGGTTTAGGTTCTTTTGTCTATATGTATACATGTATATATACAAATTTGCTGGAGGCATAACGAAGCAAGATATTCTCTCCTTTTTCAGCATACCAAATCGTTCCCTAATCACTTTTTTTTTTTTTTTTTTTTTTAGTTTTCGTTCGCAATATACTAGCAAATTCCTATTTCATTGTAAGTCCTCACAATTTTATTTTCTTCTATTGATTTTTTTTTTTTATCATTTTTGTGATTTACTTGCTTATATGATTATGTTGAGTTCTGATCGAGGTTTGCTGGCGTTATTTTCATGGATGATGAAGATATTTTTTGGTTTGTTATTTCTTGTTTATCCATCCCTCCCCCAGAATCAAAATTACTTATTTCACTATTCAACGGTTATCATTTTAGTTGGAGGGTATGGTATCTACAAAGGACGGTAGAATCCCCTAATATCTTGTTTCCAGCTATTGCAGGTGTAATTAAGAAGAAGAAATTAAACTAGATGGGATTGTTACTTACCAAGCTGAGCCAACTCTTTGCCCAGAAGCAAGCGCGGGTGCTGATGGTGGGTCTTGATGCTGCCGGCAAAACTACCATGCTGTACAAGCTCAA